GGAGCCAGCGATGGTGTGCGGAGAGCTCGGTAAGTGTAAGTACAAACATACCAAGTTAATTATGTACAGACCAGGGCTTTATAGACCATTAATATACTGTTAAAAACTCTAAAATAACTTTAAGTAGAGGTCTGGGGAATTGTGTTTATCATATTTAGCCATGTCCAAGGGCTGACTGACCATTCAAGCACTCGGGCACTGCCCGAGGGCCCGGGGTCAGTAGGGGGCCCCATGAAATGCCCCTGGTACCTTTTATAGGCTTTTTTGGGTGTGCTTTGAGTGTGGGCAAGGACACAGGGGCCCCATGATCCCCTATTGCCCGGGGGCCCTATGAGTTGTTAGTCCGCCCCTGGCCATGTCTGTACTGTACTGGCAGATCTCATAATCAGTTGTAAACTGGATGTGCACACCGTCTATGCTAACAAAGGGTTAAAGATCTCAAGGCTTGGGCTGCACAGTGCATATTAATGTGCTTTCAATCCAATTTGTCCATAAAGTATTCCTAAATATACACACACGCTTATGGAGTCCTATGTATAATCAAACTATAAAGAAACTAGAAGTCCTCATGCACACGGAACATTTTTACAATGGCTTTTATGGCTTTTGATGTTTTTTTTTTCTACAGCTAGTAAACCCCCAGCATGTTATCCTATGTGTCCATACATACATAGACTGTAATCAACGTTTTTTGGCTAGAAAAAAAAAAAACCAGGACTAGCAGGTTTCTAGAAGAGTTTTTTAGCTGTAAAAACGCTCTAATGCTGAAAAACATGATACAATGCTGCAAACCGGCGTTTTTGGACTTTTGTGACCCAAAAAACCCCTATCCAAGTTTTACATTCCCAATAAAACCTTAAAAGAAACCTCTAGACTGTGTCTTCAAGCCAGTGGAAGAGTGAAGAAAATACTATGTGCCTGGCTATGTGTGCTCTCTCTGGGGGGATAGGACGAAGTTCATCAGTGGCTTTTTAGGGGGTGCGCTCTATCTATGAACTGCAATCTTTTTAGGCATAAATCCCCTATTTCTTTATTCAAACGAAATGGGGGATTTTACTTAACAAAAAGCTAAAAAAAACGCAAATGCGGGAAACGCCACTGAAGGCGTCAAGACGCCGCTAATCGCGTTTATGCAAAAACACAAAAAAAAACCTGAAAAACTCACGTTTTTAACATGACTTTACACAGCTAATCTTACTAGCGTTATCAAAACACCCCGTGTGCATGGAGACGAAAGGTAAGACATACGTTGTTTTAATTATTTTCGGTATGCTGTGTGAATGGGAACACAAAGCCGCACAGACAGGAATAAGCTGTAAAGAATCTAAAACAAGTAAAATTACGACTACTTCAAAGGTGAGCCCAAGGAATTACTGACATAGCTGGAGCACTAGACATATTTTCCGAGAGAATCTAATAATCAGGTACTTGTCATTTGTAGGTGGGGAGCCCTAAGGATTACAGCAACAAACATTGTTCAAGAGGCACAGGAAACAATGGAGGATTGGAGAATGAGAATGACAGACATAAAGGAGAGAGACAATGAAGAACATAAAAAAGAAGTGGGCGGAGTGGCAGAAGAGGGCCAAGGTTTGGCCCTATCAGTGACATTTTGTACCCTAATCATAAATGAATCTCAGGAGGGTCGGGGATTTTGGATGGAGGGGTGGAGCAGAGAAGAAATGATCAAATAAAGAAATAGGGGATTTATACCTTAAAAGATTGCAGTTCATAGATAGAGCGCGCCCCCTAAAAAGCCACTGATGAACTTCGTCCTATCCCCCCAGAGAGAGCACACATAGCCAGGCACATAGTATTTTCTTCACTCTTCCACTGGCCTGAAGACACAGTCTAGAGCAGTGGTTCTCAACCTTCCTAATGCCCGCGACCCTTTAATACAGTTCCTCATGTTGTGGTGACCCCCAACCATAAAATTATTTACCCAGTAATTATAATTCATGAGTGTCGTTTTACCTCCAATACTGCTGCTTTCAACACAGTAGCTGCTTTTAACAGAGTAGCTGCTTTCAACACAGCAGCTGCTTTCTACACAGTAGCTGCTCTTTACACATCGGAAATATGTGTTTTCTGATGGTCTTAGGGGACCCCTGTGAAAGGGTCGTTCGACCCCCAAAGGGGTCATGACCCACAAGTTGAGAACCACTGGTCTAGAGGTTTTCTTTTAGGTTTTATTGGAAACGTAAAACTTGGATAGGGGGTAGGAGCATGGGATACCCCAAAACTGAAATACTGGACACTCTGAGGACTCCTTAATTATCATGCCCCTGTAGAAAAAATTCCCATAGAATCTCCAATCCTGACGGTGAGTATGACTTCTCCCAGAGACCAAAGCTGCACATAGTCCCTGACTCTCCAGCACATAGATCATCTACTTATGCAGCCACAAGATCATCACTTGCCTCCTTCTGATATCCACCAGGTTCTTCACAGTGAGGGAGGAGTTTAGGACAGGGGTGGGCAAACTTTTTGACTTGAGGGCCGCAATGGGTTCATATACTGGACCTGGGGGCCGGACCAAGAGTAGTGAATGATGTGTATGTGTCATCCATAGTAAGTATAGTAATTCATCCCCCATAGTAAGCATAGTAATTCAATCCCCCATATAGTAATTCATCCCCCATAGTAATTCATCCCCCATATTGTAATTCATCCCCCATATAGTAATTCATCCCCCATAGTAATTCATCCCCCATATAGTAATTCATCCCCCATAGTAATTCATCCCCCATAGTAATTCATCCCCCATATAGTAATTCATCCCCCATAGTAATTCATCCCCCATATAGTAATTCATCCCCATATAGTAATTCATCCCCCCTATAGTAATTCATCCCCCCATATAGTAATTCATCCCCCCTATAGTAATTCATCCCCCCTATAGTAATTCATCCCCCCTATAGTAATTCATTCCCCATATTAATTCATCCCCCATAGTACTATTCCACCCCAAGTAGTAAGCCAAGTCCCCCCTGTGTCAATTTACTTACCTTTGCTCCGCGCGTTCCTCTCGCTGTGTTCCCGTGCCGTTCCGGTCTTCAGGGCGGACTGTGAGAGGAGCCTAGCTCCCCTCACGTTCGTCACGCTGCCCCGCCTACACACATCCTGACAGCCAATGTATCCCGCGCCATTCCGGTCTTCAGGGCGGACTGTGAGAGGAGCCTAGCTCCCCTCACGTTCGTCACGCTGCCCCGCCTACACACATCCTGACAGCCGATGTATCACGCTCCGCGGGCCAGATTAAAAGGTCCGCCGGGCCGTAGTTTGCCCATTGCTGGTTTAGGATCATACCACCATAGGACAGTTTGACACTCTTCTCCCAACGTCCTCCTGGCTTTTTCCAGTGAGCTCTCTGCTGACCTGAGCTGATTCCAGGACATAGGCCCCCTAAGCCTAGCTGGGAACTCAATGTCTTCACAAAGGCTTCTCTAGCACTTCTGCCACAGGGGGCAGAGCCCCTGCACAGAGATCTCATCCAGTAGGACCAGACCCAGGAACACTGCTCTACAGACTATTTATGGGCTCTCCTGCCACCTACTGGGCACACCTCTCCAGGGATTTGCTAGAGTGTAATAAATATTTAGGTTGCCCACTCTGTTTTTCCTCCCACTATAATTCTAGAATCCTCTAGAATACAAGGAGAAGTAATCAGAGCAGCAGCCTGTGAGACAATGTGCAGGCCTTAACAATCACCCCTGCTCCACTGATTACAGGGGAGCTAACTAAATTTACCTAACAGCCTACACTACTTCTAGGAGGGTCCTTCATGAAAAAAAATACAAGGTATTTGCACATGCTTTTCTGGACCACTGTTTTAATTTGTAAGGATCATGAAAGTTCTAGCTTTAGCTTTACAGATGATAAGGACCTTATTTGGATGGTACTTGCCCTGTCCTGCTCTGATTCTTACTGAATCCATGTTCGCAACACTAAAATTTCATGACCCCCTCCCCCTTAACTGTGACCTTTAAGTTCTAAGTGTTAAGAGGGAAGGGTCAAATTTGTAAGAAAGTAATGGTCAATCCAAGGTAATCACTTTTTTTTTTTTTTTTTTTAATTTTGGATAGCGTGAAGAGGGATTAGACCCCCTGTCAGTTTTTATTGCTGTTTGTACTGAAGACTGCACTGGACTGACTGAATCGGTCATTGGTCGTAGGTGGGTGGTTGCGTGGGTGGGTGAGGGAGATGTCCCTCCAGTCAGTTGTGCCCAATAGTGGAAAATGGAGGTAGACCCTCTTAGGGTTTGGACTGCTGCCTTTCTAGTACGGTCTTGAGGTCGTTTCCACATATACTTGGAATAATAGAAAAGAAGAAGCATCCGATGTCCAAAAGAATGCACTTTTGATGGTAGATTAGGAGGCATTTATTGAGAGTAATGACAAGTACATCAAGCCAATGCGTTTCGGGAGAAAAGGCTCTCCCTTCTTCAGGACTGTTGCTGTACATTATTAAATGGGAAAAATTCGCCAGGCCAGTTATATATTTTCCAGGTTTCAGAGGAAAAACTGACAGAGTGACTATTGCCCCTGAAATTACAGCTCTGTCAGTTTTTCCTCCAAAACCTAGACAAATTTATAACTGACGTGGGAATTTTCCCATTTAACAGCATGAAGCAACAGCCCTGAAGAAGGGAGAGTCTTTTCTCCTGAAACGCGTTGGATTGATGTACTTGTGAAGCGCTCAGCAAACTGTTGGCGCTATATAAATCCTGTATAATAATAATACTTGTCTTATTCTCAATAAATGCCTCTTAATCTACCATCAAAAAGGTATTCTTTTGAACACCGAGCACTCCTTCTTTTGCTTTATTTCAAGTCTTTATTGCTGTCTGGGCCCCCATTAGGGAGATTCACCTTCTCTCTTTGTCCTGTTTATTGTCATCACTGAATATAAAAGTGGAAAAAAAAACACATTTTAGGTTGTCACCAGAACAGGAATAGAAATATTCCAATGGGAACACTAGTTCTGGCGACTACCAAGGATGCACTCACTTTGGATGGACTTCCTCTCACTGCCTATTTTGGCAATGGGACAGGAATTGAAGGAAAATCTCCCCAATGGGTCACAGCAGGGGCGGACTGACAACTCATGGGGCCCCCGGGCAATAGGAGATCATGGGGCCCCTGTGTCCTCGCCCACACTCAAATCACACCCAAAAAAGCCTATGAAAGGTACCAGGGACATCTCATGGGGCCCCATACTGACGCCAGGCCCTCAGGCAGTGCCCGATTTCCCCAATGGTCAGTCCGCCCCTAGGTCACAGTTGGAAAAACAAACTGACCGGGGTTATAACCCTCTCTTAGGCCCCATTCAGACAGGGTGGACTCCATCCCAATCAGCAGGGATCCGCTCACAGATTCCCTGCTGATCAGAGCAGAACGGGTGGATGACACTTAGGTCCTGCAGAGTGGACATGGACAGAGCCCACTCTGTTGTATGGGCGGCCGGGTGTAAATGGACTCCTATGATTTGATCCACCTAAACAGAAGAGGATGGATCCCCTTCTGGTTTTTTTGAATGGACCAGGAGGTAAACAGGTGAAAATGGACACAAGCAGGTCCACAATGGACACAAGTCCATTTATACCCGCCTGTCCTAGGGGTGAATGGACCATCCAATCAGATCTGCCTGAAAACTGACAGGCAAAACTGATCAGACCCACCGTGGGAAAGGGGCCTTACTCTATCCAAAATGAAAAAAAAATTGTGCATTTAGTCCTGATTGATTATTTATGTAAACCTAGTGTGTAATATGTCATATAAGCATTAAATGTTAGTGTCATTTTAGTCACTTCCTGTTCTATGGGACAACATTTTGTCTCTATTTCCCAGTTGTACTTCTGAGTTGTCACCCAAACACATGGGCTTCTGATGCAGATTACAAATAGTTGTTTCAACATGCATTACACAGGCATGGCCCTCAGTTGTCCTCTGGAAGCCAATCACAGCCTTTGAGAAAAGTTGTAAGAGAAACCTGTAGCCAATTAGAGCACTAGACCTTTAAATAACCTAGACCACGGGTGTCAAACACAATTTCATTGTGGGCCACATCAGCGTTATGGTTGCCCTCAAAGGGCTGTTGTACCTGTAAGACTAGATGTCCAGAGCACCCCCCTCCTTTACATCAGATGTCAAGAGTCCCCCACCCTCCTTTACATCAGATGTCAAGAGTCCCCCACCCTCCTTTACATCAGATGTCAAGAGTCCCCACTCTCCTTTACATCAATGTCAAGAGTCCCCTACCCTCCTTTACATCAGATGTCAAGAGTCCCCCACCCTCCTTCACATCAGATGTCAAGAGTCCCCCACCCTCCTTTACATCAGATGTCAAGAGTCCCCCACCCTCCTTTACATCAGATGTCAAGAGTCCCCCACCCTCCTTTACATCAGATGTCAAGAGTCCCCCACCCTCCTTTACATCAGATGTCAAGAGTCCCCCACTCTCCTTTACATACAATGTCAAGAGTCCCCCACCCTCCTTCAATCAGATGTCAAGAGTCCCCACCCTCCTTTACATCAGATGTCAAGAGTCTCCCACTCTCCTTTACATACGATGTATCAAGAGTCCCCCTACATCCTTTCCTCCTTCACATCAGATGTCAAGAGTCCCCTACCCTCCTTTACATCAGATGTCAAGAGTCCCCTACCCTCCTTTACATCAGATGTCAAGAGTCCCCTACCCTCCTTCACATCAGATGTCCAGAGCACCCCACCCTCCTTCACATCAGATGTCCAGAGCACCCTACCCTCCTTCCCATCAGATGTCAAGAGTCCCCCACCCTCCTTCACATCCAGAGCACCCAGAGCACCCCACCCTCCTTTACATCAGATGTCAAGAGTCCCTTACCCTCCTTTACATCAGATGTCAAGAGTCTCCTACCTCCTTTACATCAGATGTCAAGAGTCCCCCTCCTTTACATCAGATGTCCCCCTACCGTCCTTTTCTTTAGATGTCAAGAGTCCCTACCCTCCTTTACATCAGATGTCAAGAGTCACCTACCCTCCCTTACATCAGATGTCAAGAGTTCCCCTACCCTCCTTCACATCAGATGTCAAGAGTTCCCCACTATCTCCTTCACATCAGATGTCAGATGATGTCAAGAGTTCCCTACCCTCCTTTACATCAGATATCAAGAGTCCCCCACTCTCCTTCACATCAGATGTCAAGAGTTCCCTACACTCATTTACATCAGATGTCAAGAGTCCACTACCCTCCTTTACATCAGATGTCAAGAGTCCCCTACACTCTTTTACATCAGATGTCAAGAGTCACCTACCCTCCTTTACATCAGATGTCAAGAGTCCCCCACTCTCCTTTTACATCACAGTGCACCCCCTTTACCTTGTTCTGCTGCCAGGAAGAAGCGGGGGGCAGAGCTGGGGAGAAGAAAATGCTGGGTCTGGAGGAGGACCAGAGAAGGGCTGAAGACAGCTGGCGGAGCCTGCTGAATGCTGAGACCAGGGGTGGCAGAGACGAGGGGGTGCTATGGCTGCACATAGAGAGAATTGTAAGAGGAGTTCTGTCTATTACTGAGACAGGATAGGGGGGCAGAAACCAGCTTCTTTGCAGCTGCATCGAGAACACAGGATCTGGAGCAGGAGTTCTGCCCTCCTTTCTGCGCCGAGTGCTGAAAAAAGGTGGAGGCGAAGTAGAAGGGGTTGCTGCAGCTGCATGAGAAGTGTAAGGGCCACATGAAATGACCTGGCGGGCCTTGTGTTTGACACGTGTGATCTAGACAATCTTGTAGGTGGGAACTTCAAAAAACCTGCAAGACAAGCCCATATTGCAGCCATTCAGATCATTCCATGTCTAGCAAACCTTTAAAGACTTGCAGCCAACAGTGTATAACAGATTATAGCACATGACTGACTCTTAGATATGTCATCAGAAAAAAAATGCCATTTATCAACCACAAAAGGAATGCCACTAGTAAAACACAGTTACGGCTGAAATGTTCAGCTTACGTAGCTACTATAGTATGAGAGATATGGCCACTGGCCAAGTACCAATGAACTCACTTCACGGAGGAATGACATTTACTATGAAACTTTCTTCTAAGATGAGATCTAGCATGGGGCCAAAAAAAGTGCACTGTGATTTCTCAGCAATTCCCTGCTGCCTTTTAAGATGTTGAATCTTCTTCTTTTACAAATTTGAACATTTCTTTTGTGTTTGACCCTTTTTCTTTAACCACTTCAAGTCCGGACACTTTCACCCCCTTCCAGTCCAGGCCAATTTTTAGCTTTCAGCGCTGTCACATTTGAATGACAATTGCGCGGTCATGCAACACTGTAACCATATGAAATTTTTAGCATTTTTGTAAGAGAGATAAAAACTTTCTTTTGGGGGTATTTATTCACCACTGGGATTTTTATTTTTTTACTATATAATAACAAAAAAGACCAAACATTTTGAAAGAAAAAGTGTTTTTCTTATAAAATTTAGCAAATAATCTTTCGTCATAAATCTTGGCCAAAATGGTAAAAAAAAAAAATAACCTCAAATCAGCTTATAAAAAAAAATTATAACTTTTCAAAAAATATTTTTACATTTTTATTTTATTTTGTTATATTAATTTTTTCTACATACTGTCATCCTACCAGTACAGTGTCACCATGGTGACACTATACTACTTGTGGGGGGTGATGAAATTTTTATTTTATTTTTTTTACACTGATTGCTTTTATACCCATAAAGGCTGTAAAAGCAATCATTTCTCCTCTCTGGCTGCATTTTTGCAGCCATTGAGAAATATTGTGTGAGCTGTGATTAGCCACAGCTTGTCACATGGTACAAGGCTGTTGTGAATAGCCCTGTACCATGTGATCTCTGTGATCATTTACAGAATTCACAAGTAGTAAGCAATGATGTCAGGAAGTGACATCTTGTTTACTACTGTTCATGTGATCACTGATTGGCCAATCAGTGATCACATGAATTGGGACCTCACACAATGGTCCCGTACATCGATCTGTGTTCCGCTGTGTCACAGTAGGCAGGAAGCGCGCACAGGCAATGGATGTTTTTAAACATCCCCCCGCATCGGCAATGCTCCCGTCCAGCCATTTATCGGCATGGGCCAAACAGGAAGAGGTTAAGGCTTGGTTCACTTATATGCATTTTGTGTTTGATGCTTTCTCCAGTGTTTTTTGCAGTTTGTTTTGCATTTTTTCTACTTTCATCTTTGATGCCTTTTTATCGCGTTTTAAATTTTATTCAGCTTTTTTTTTTGTTTGGTAAAGTGGAATTCGATTTGTTGCTGGGCAGAATAATAATGTAAAATGCAAAACGCAGCAAAAACGCACTACCATGCAGTACAGCAGCTTCTCCGTTGAACTCTGTTGTAGCAAAAATGCTGTTTTTTGCTTTTAAAAAAGTCCCTGACCCTTTCCAAAAACTCAGCAGCTCAAAAAAGCGTAGATGTAAACATTTTCCATAGGAAACCATGTTAAATGGACTGTAGTGCGATTCTGCAAAAAGCACTAAAAATCGCAATGGTGTGATCGGAGCCTTAAGTGGTGGTGAACTCTTACATGCACCCAGTAAAGTGATTAGCCTCAGGTGATACACAGAGATTAAACAAATCCTCCTACATAAATTGTACTTGTTTATCTGCATATTTATCTTCTTACACCCATTCATAGTCCAGAAGCTATACAGTTCGTCTCAGATTTCAGAAAGCAGGGGATGTGGATCTGAAGTTACACTTTGCGATGCTTGGTGAGAAAAGCTCTGAGAGCTGATTGGAGGGAAGGGACACACACCCTTACACACAGCACACAGGAACAGAGCTGAAGCTGTCAATCACAGGCTGTGTGCCAAAGATCTCTTCCCTGTCACCTTTCTTTTCTCTTGGTGTCAGGAAAACCTGCCAGAAGTGACTCATTAAAGTCACACTTGTAGTGACGCTTGGTACTTTGGATTGAGACAAGTACACACTATAGAGAGATGTGTTTTGTTCATATTTCATGTCTGAGGTCTACAACCACTTTAAGGAACACATACAGTTGCAAGAAAAAGTATGTGAACCCCTTGGGATTATGTGGAGTTTTGCATGAACTGGGCATGAAATGTGCTCTGAATGTCATCTAAGTCACAACAATAGAAGAACACAGTCTGCTGAACATAATACTACACAAACATTAGATGTTGCCATGGTTTAATTGCACAT